TTAGGCACACTTGTTTCACGAGATCTGGATACGTGCAGAAAAACGCGTTTATACTATATGTATATATACTGGGTGGGTAATTAATTAAGAGCCTTTTCTCTTTTTATTTCTTTTCAATGTGTCAATGTAAAATTCGACACAATAATTTTTGAAAAATATTTTTATATAGAAAAGAAAGCTAATTATTGATTTTTAATATGATTATGACGATAATTTTTTTCATCAATGATATTTAGGTATATATATATACATATATGAATATGTTAAATTAAAATTAAATTTTTTTTATTCGTCTTCATTTGGATTTTAAGAAGAGGGAATGGTGAAATTTCAACTCATCGAAATTAATGTTGTTACACGAAAAGAAAATAAATATCAAATTTTATAAAAGCATTTTCAAATTTTGTAAAATTATTTTCAAGTCGTGGAAAATATTGTAAAAAGCGAAATTTTCATATAAGAAATACTAATCTTTAATAAACTTTTATTTATTAGAAAATTATTATTTTATTTGGTAGAATGTATTTAATTCATTATTAAATGACACTAAATTTTATTATAACTATTATGGTAAATTTCATAAAAGTTTATTAAAGATTAGTATTTCTTATATTAAATTTCGCTTTTTACCATATTTTCCACGACTTGAAAATACTTTTACAAAATTTGATATTTATTTTCTTTTCGTGTAAGGGATGTCAATTTTTTTTTTCTGTCATTATTTGGGATCTAAAATTGTGAAAGAAGCCAATAAAAAAATTACCGATAAAAAATAATAAAAATTGTAGAAAAGATTGGATTTTTAAGGAATAATTGATAAAATTCAAAACCAAACATAATTGGTTTGGTTTATAGGGGTAACAATTTCTTTTTCTTTAAATTTTTTTAAAACATGAAATCATAAATTTTACTATGAAAAATGAAAAAAAAATTAATTTTTCACAAATTAACAATTTTTTTTTATTTTTTAAAAATTTTATTTTTTGAAAAAATGGGACGCATAAATATGTTCTAAAAATTATTAGTTAGAATTCTCATTTTATGGAATTTCATTTGTCATAATTATTTTTGAGCCGAATTTTTTATTTATTCGAATTAGTATTTTGCAGAATTTTCATCAAAACGATTTTCTATAATACAGAATTTTTATATAACCGAAAATTCACTTTACAGAATTTTTATTTCTTCGAATTTTTATTTGTCAGAATTTTTATTTGCTCGAATTTTCATTTAACATAATAGACATTTAAAAGAATTTTTATTGGGTAGAATTGCATTGCATAGAATTTTCATTTGTCCGAAATTGCAAATGGCCGAACAAACAATCGACAGAAAGATTTTGGCGCGATTTTTAAAATCAACCAATCACAATTTTCTGAGTAATTTTTGATTGGTTGATTTTAAAATCGCGCCGAAATCTCTCTGTCGATTATTTGTTCGGTCATTTACAATTTCGGACAAATGAAAATTCTATCAATTAGAAATTCTGTTAAATGATTTTTCGGTTCAGGAAAAATTCTGTAGTTATGAAAAATCGGTTATATGGAAATTGTATCAAATAATAATTCGAACAAATGAAAATTCTATGCAATGAAATTCTACCCAGGTTTCCGTGTAGAGTGGCAATTCTGATTATATATATATATATATATGAAATAAATTGAAAAGTAATCGTATGTAATTAAAAATTAATTAATTAAGTATAAATAAAATAATTAAGTGTAATAATAATAATTTTAGATAAAAAAAAATATATTTATCGTCATAGATGTAGAAAGCAGCAAGATAAAAAAAATATATTTCTATACTGACATTAATTAGCTTTCTTTGGGTGAAATTCCTATTATTTGAAATAATTAAAATGCATGGAATTTTCTTATTGGGTGTTAATTGAAACAATTTCAAACAACCAATGTACATTTTCGCTGTTACGTGATGCATTCTCTTCATGCAAGTTATATAATTTCACGTCGTATATAGCAGCGAGTGAGTCTTTTTAAAACTGAATGAAGACGAAAATAGCAAATCAACAGGTGAATCGCTTGTAAAAAAAAAAAGAAAAAAGAAACATATCCACCTTTATTATAAATGTCATTACATCTCTCTTGACAACGCGGTTTTATTACTTATATATTACATCATTATTATATTATACATATACATATAAACAATAATGATTGTAACTATTTTGAAATGTTTTTTTTTTCATAAATGCTAGAAAGTTTCGTTTATTTTTATTGTGAGTGAATTTTTTTTTTTGAAGGAGAATTTATCGAAATTAAAATCGCACAAGTTTTCAAAAAAATGTATTTTTTCAATTTAATAAATTTACACTAAAAATAATTTATTTAATTCAAATAATCATAGTTACTTGATTATCATTAAATAAATATTTATTTATCGACGTCTCCTAACGATAAAGTGTTTATTCAAATTTTAGTGCAATAAAGTGTTAACCCAGAAAATTGGGTTATATGGTGTCTATTGAAAATTTCGTGCAATATAGTGATAGTTCAAGTTGCGGGTAATAAAATATTTAATCGTTTATAAACATATTTTCTATAAAGGATCTTATATTATTCATTCAATTTTAGAAATTCATGTAATTATAATATTATTGAGTCATTCCATTATATTTCGAACAATGTCGTTGCCGACTAATTTTTAAAAATTATGATACTTTGCAGGGATGATCTGGAAGTTATAAAGATCACGAAATGAAAAGATTTTTACTAAAATTTTTATTATTTACTTTAAAATATGAATTTAAAGTGTACGAGGTGCTGAAAATTGACAGTTTTTCAGCCAGCAGAAAATATTCGAAAAAACCTATAATTTACCATAAAAGTGTGAAAATTATTATTGCAATTTATTAAGAATGACTAAATTTACTTTTATAAATTGATTTAAGCATTTAAAGATATGAAATAATAGGAAAAACATGATTTTCAATTTCATCTTAAAAATAACCTAATTTTGCTATTTTTATCGATTAATTATGAGAAAGGGTAAATATTAAATTAAAAAAAAACTTACCAAATATCAAGTCATTGCTATTAACTTTTAGATTTTCTTTGTACTTTTTAATTTTTCTCTTTATTTATATAAAAATTTTGAAAAAGAAAATTGCCACTTTGCTAATTTTTGCGATTTTTGAAACTGAATAACTTGTTTACAGTAAAACGGAAAAATCTGGGATTTTGGGAGTATTTAAATATACACTAAATAAACACACTCCAAAAGTCTTGCGTTGGTTTTTGAGCTATTTTGTAAGATAAAGCAGATCGAAATTTCATTACTTTTGAGGCTATATTGACAATAATTTGTTCTTAACTTGAAGTTGGCTCGCAAGTGTTGTCATTTAATATAAATAAATATGAATTTATTACAAGACTCGATACTTGCGAGCCAACTTCAAGTTAAGAACAAATTATTGTCAATATAGCCTCAAAAGTAATGAAATTTCGATCTGCTTTATCTTACAAAATAGCTCAAAAACCAACGCAAGACTTTTGGAGTGTGTTTATTTAGTGTATATTTAAATACTCCCAAAATCCCAGATTTTTCCGTTTTACTGTAAACAAGTTATTCAGTTTCAAAAATCGCAATAATTAGCAAAGTGGCAATTTTCTTTTTCAAAATTTTTATATAAATAAAGAGAAAAATTAAAAAGTACAAAGAAAATCTAAAAGTTAATAGCAATGACTTGATATTTGGTAAGTTTATTTTTAATTTAATATTTACCCTTTCTCATAATTAATCGATAAAAATAGCAAAATTAGGTTATTTTTAAGATGAAATTGAAAATCATGTTTTTCCTATTATTTCATATCTTTAAATGCTTAAATCAATTTATAAAAGTAAATTTAGTCATTCTTAATAAATTGCAATAATAATTTTCACACTTTTATAGTAAATTATAGGTTTTTTCGAATATTTTCTGCTGGCTGAAAAACTGTCAATTTTCAGCACCTCGTACACTTTAAATTCATATTTTAAAGTAAATAATAAAAATTTTAGTAAAAATCTTTTCATTTCGTGATCTTTATAACTTCAAGATCATCCCTGCAAAGTATCATAATTTTTAAAAATTAGTCGGCAACGACATTGTTCGAAATATAATGGAATGACTCTATTATGTTTTTTAAACAGTTTCAATAATAAAATAAAAATTTATTTGAATATAAGCTTTATATTGTATTGACAATTAAATAAACATTTCATTACCCGCAACTTGAACTATTACTATATTCCACAAACAATTGAATAAGAACTATATTGCACGAAATTTTCGATAGACACCATATAACTCAATTCTCTGAATGAACACTTTATATTACACTGAAATTTGAATAAACACTTTATCATTAGGAGACGTCGTTATATTAAATCAACGTCAATAAAATATTTTTCTGTGTGCAAATACAGAAATTATTGGTTCAAATTCAATTTATTTAATTCAAGTAAAAATTATTTAGTCCAAGTAAATATTTATTTGATAATAGTCAAGTAACCAATTATTTCAATCAAATAAAATTTTTTCTACAATGTTGCAAATTATTTTGAATAAACTATTATTATTATTGTTATTATTATTATTATTATTATTATTATTATTATTATTATTACCTATTATTATTTTTTTTTTGGTATTATAATATTGAAAGCCCTTTAGTAAAATATTATATACCGTGAAAATGTATATTACAAAAACGCAAATTAAAATTGAAAAATTAGAAAAAGAATACCTACATCTAGGCCACATTAATAATTATACTAAAATCCAGTAAATGATTACGCAAAGCGTTAATAAAACTATTCGATTGATGAAAAAGTATCTCGATATACTTTCACAATGTGCATTCGCTTCCCTATACATAATCTATTTAATACTGAATTCTTACTATAATAATTGCATTAAAAAAACATATATATAGGTATAGAATAGAGAGAAAAATTCCTATACGAGTTCTCTTATAGAAGTTGCGAGCTAGAAAGCAAATATTGAACAAAATAATCAGGACAGTAGATGATTTCATTGACGATTTTGTGTGAAAAAAAAGCATATCAGAGTAAACAGAAACCTTGACTTAAATAATTGGAATGTTGAAAGTGAAACTGAATCCAGTGTCTATATTTTATCCCATCACTCAATTTTACCTCACGTTTTTGGGATTTTGACATAATCTTAAAAAACATTAAACTGCGAATATACAAAAAATGAAAAATAATTTCACTTTGAGACTCAGACCAAGTTTATATTCCACGTGAGATTTACATATGGCATTTTAAATTCGGTAAATATAATTTTTTTTTCGATCTTTATAGAAAAAAAAGGTTTACATATATGGGGCATTCTTCATTGAAAATTTTTTTTCCCCGAAACATTTTTTTTCAAAATCTATATGAAAAATAAGGATATACGTATTTTTTTATTTGTTAAAAATGAAGGAAATTATGATTTTTTGATTAACGTCAACGAAGAAAGTGTGTTTTTTGAACATTTTTTAATCTATTGTACTAATAAATTAAAAATTATGCTATATATGAAATTTTTTCTCAAATTTTTCAAATATCTGCTCAAAAATAACGTACCTATAAGAGAAGTAACAAAAAAGTTGAAATTAAACTCAAAAAGTGAGTTTTCTCAAAAGAGACACTTTCGATTTTTAACTTTTTTTTTGCATTAAGTATTATAAAAATTGTACAAAATTGAATCTTTCAAAATTTGATAAAATTAATTTTATTTATAATTTTATTTGTTGTTAAAAACAAGGTTATGTTAATGGGATAAGAATCCTTTATTGACGGGGAAATTTTTTTTTTAATTTAACATAATAATACATATTAAATAATAATAATAATAATAATAATATTGGTAATAATAATTATAATAATAACAACATATAATTAAACAAAGTTTGGTTATATATAAATCCGAGGATAAATTAAAATATAAATTAGAAAAATTGAAATTTGTATAATATATTCTCTATACGCTTGAGAGAATTTTCAATGGGATTTTTCATTGATAGTTCGACGATGATAATTTTTGCACGATCATGAATATTACAAAAGTATATTGCTATACATATACATACATAGTAGCAAAAGCGGGTAATGCGTGTATAAAATGAGATTTATGGGAAAATGCGTATAAGCGACGTAAATTTTTTTTTTTTCATATACGGGACTCTGCTGTGATAGTTGTGCGCGACGTCTATATAAATTCTTTGTGCAGTATATTTGCAGACTTTTTTTCCATCATTATTCGCGTTCGCCGATTCTCCGTTAGGTATATATATATATATATATATATGTATATAAAATCGAATAAAGCACGCGTAATGTGACTCGAAGGCATACCTATATAGTTTGCGCGTTTCGGCTCTGAGCCAAGTCGTTATGAACGATAAGCACCGAACCAGCAACTGTGCGGTAGCCGTAGAGCGTGGAGAATGTAATTTCGAAAGAAGCGAAGGTAAAACCCGCATCAAATGGCATGGTTAGGGTGGATGCTTCCTCGAATCTACATGTAAGACATATAACGTAATATCGTAATACTTCTCATTGTTTCAAATTTTCCATTCAAATCAAAGACTTACGGATATAATATTTCGAATATTGCATCGCTTTAATGATTATGAGAGCAATAAAAATTCCCGCGGCAAGATGTATGAGTCAATATGTATATATATACGTATATCCATATATATATATATATATATATATATATATATATATTTTATTCAACGTCGTTGCGTATGGTTTATTTTGAAAAAAAATCTGATATAATTCATCTAAGAATGATTTTCGATATTCATACAATAAATTTTTGGCAATTATTTTGACAAAATTTTTCTATAGGTATAATATGTGGTTGTAATTTGTTGCTATTATGGTTGAAAAAAGTAATTTTTTAAAAAACAATAGACAAAAAGATAACGGCGTGATTAAACCAATCACAATTTTATTGATGCAATTTCGGACAAATGAGAATTCTGTCAATTAGAAATTTTTTAAAATAATTTTTCGGTTATAAAAATTTTGCAATTTTAAGGCCATGTGAGAAATACCCACGTGACCTCCATGCAAATAACATGGTATCCATAGTTTCAAAGTTTTCTCTAAAATGGTAAAGAATTTTTGGTTGAAATTTGGTAAATATATGATAGAGAATAACATTTAGAATTGCGCTGTTCTCGGTTTAAAGTACAATTTTCCGTTTAAGTATTAAAAATAAAAGTTTTGAAATTCCCATTTTTGAACGAAAGTTGAAGTCAACATGGTGAGGATACACGTGAATGTATCAATGGTCTAGGAAACAGCGCCAATTCGAGTTAGTGGCCGCTCAAAGAACTAACAAAAACCCTATTAACTCCACTATTAATTACTTTTTTAAATTATTTCGCATTCAATTACAGTAAATAAGTAGAACGGGGCAATTCCTTCAACCCTTTTTTATCATTCCTCAAAATTTCAACCCGAAATTTTTTCTCATTTTCGAGAATACTTGGAACTACCAAAAAATGTTTTTGTCTCATATGGCCTTAATGAAAATTCTGCAAAATAATAATTCGAACAAATAAAAATTTGGTTCAATGTCAATTAAGGAGGGTGGCGGGTCAACATAACCTCAAAAACCTGTCAAAACTAAAAAATTGTTTTTAACGCAAACAAAAATATAATAAATATTAATTTTTAAACAATTTTAGAAGATCTAGATTTACTACTTTCGAAAAAAATTATTTTTTTCCAAAATATTTTGTCAATAACTATTTTTTTAACATTTAGTTTTTTTTTCTTTTAAATCAGACAAAAATTGCAATTTTTAACCAATTTTTATAAACAAAAGCTCATTTTACTAAGTGAAACATTCTCTACAATTGTTACCTTTTTTATATTGAATAAGTATGTTCTTAGAAAGGTATAAACAATTAAAATTTTATTTATGAAATAACTTTTTAAGAACATACTTATTCAATATAAAAAAGGTAACAATTGTAGAGAATGTTTCACTTAGTAAAATGAGCTTTTGTTTATAAAAATTGGTTAAAAATTGCAATTTTTGTCTGATTAAAAAGAAAAATAAAACTAAATAATAAAAAAATAATTATTGACAAAATATTTTGGAAAAAAATAATTTTTTTCGCAAGGAGTATGTAAATCTAGATCTTCTAAAATTGTTTGAAATTAATATTTATTATATTTTTGTTTGCGTTAAAAACAATTTTTTAATTTTGACAGTTTTTTGAGATTATGATGACCCGCCACCCTTCTTAAATTTTTATGAAATTCTAAATTAAATGAGTAAATATTCTTCAAATTAGATCTGTTGGATTTTATGTAATGTCGAATTAAAAAATATCGAATTTTTATTTAGCAGAATTTTATAAAGTTTATTTTATAATAAGCCAAATTTTCATATCGAAGAATTTCTATATGTAACTGAATTTTGATTTTAGTATAGATAATTTTTATTTAATTGAACTTTCGTTCAAATATTGATAGCAGATTTTTGAATTTTTAAATAATATAATTTCCATTTAACAGAATTTATGTCTAGAAAAAATTTTCATTAAAATGAATTTTTATTTATCAGAATTGTTGCTTTATCCAAATCGTCGATATGAGAAAATTAGACTCATTAGAAAATACACTTTTTCAAATTTGGCTAAATAAAAATTCAATAATGTTTAAACAAAAATTCCAACAGATCTCAAAAATCTGAAAAGTCAATTATTATTTTTATTATTATTATTATTAACATCATCATTTAAATTATAATTTCAAATTATTGTCAATAAGAAATTTTGAAATTATTTTTCATACCTGCATTTCGAGCTGTATGTTTACATTGAAGAATAATGTTCAATTTAAGTCGAAGGTTATAATAATATTTATTGATAATTCCAAAAATAATTCAATTAGTTGCAATTCGTCTATTGACCTGTTTAGTTTGTTGTCATTTATTTGATATTATTATATTTAAAGTGAATATCTTCGGGAGTGCTCGAACTTTTTTTTAATTCGCTAACAATAAAATTTTAGTGTATTATTAAACTTTCTTTTGTCATTTTAAGAAATTTTTTGTTTCGGGAGTGTTCGAAATTCTTAAAATCGCGTTCGCTTAAATATTTAGAAAAAGTATTATGTTTATTATAATTAATTTTAAACGTGGTTTCAGGAGTGTTCGAAAATTTTTAAATCGCGTGACTTTCCAGCATCATCGATTGGAGTTGCTGAGGTTAGAGATATACCCATATTTATTATAAATACATATCATAATTTCATGCAATTATTTTCTACTGAAAAATTGAAAAAAAATTCATTCATTTTTTTTCCAAAAAGTTTTGTCTAAATGACATTTTAGGTAAATGTCGCAGTTTGTTTAAAAAAAGTTGAATTAAATAACATTAATTAAATAAAAAATGACAATTCGTTAAATAAAAATTTGATTCAAATGAAATTTGATAAAATGAAAATACTGTTAAATGACCATTTTAGTGTCATGCATTTCTGTCAAATAGAAATTCCGGCAAATAGTATTTAAGGAATTTTCATGCTGCCCTTATCTTCAGAGAAAATCTTCACTATAGCTTTTATAAGAATCGATAAATTCTTTGCATTCTTTTGAAAATTTCGAAATAAGTCGTTTAAACTCTCACGTTAGATCTTTGGTTTATTTAATACAAATTTCCTTTATTTTAAATTTGTTTTAGTTACATTTTTTCCTTGTATGTACATATAGGCAAATTGAGAAATTTTATTTAATGGTTCAGAAAATTATTCCACGCAAAGTAAACTTTCACTCTCAACCAAATTTTAATTAGTTTATTAACGAATTAATTGTTTCCTGTATACAAAAATTGCGGACTAAATTTGAATTTTGTTGAAAAATTTACGTCTGTGAAGTTTACAACGTTTATGATAAACGATTCAAAAAAAAAAAAATATTTTAGACTCAAAAAATAATAACTAATTTTTTGCCTACAAATTTTTTTT